ATAAAAAGCAACACTGTCATTTAGTCTCTCCAATTTATTTAATCAACAGATACAAAGTTCCCAGAGAGCACTTAACATTTGAAGTTTTTGTTTGTGTTTGTGTAGTTTAAAAAAAAAAAAGTCAACTTGCATACTTAGCAAAGGTGACAGAGCAGAGACTCAGAATATAGAGGTTTGACAGAAGGTGATCAGTGTGGGAAATCCATTATTTTATTATTATTATAAACTATATTTAAACAGGGAGTGTCACAAGGACGCCCTGATTACAGTACACATATAACAATAAAAGCACACAAAAGTTACATCAACAAATTATAGGTCAAGTACATCAATATAATGGGCAGACCTGGGCCCCGTTCTTCATACACGAGTTATCCAAATGAGAGTGTTTTAGAGAATAATATAGATTTGAAATTAGTCTGGATTTTTTTTGGTTCTTCAGAGCTGGTTTAATTTAACTGATTTTAGATGAGAGCAGGTTATTGAGAAATCCCTATGATCTGTTGGTGTAATAACATAATTGTAATAAAAGACCAGTGGAGCGAGAACATATGACTATTATTAACATTAAAATGTGAATTTGTTATTTCAACTTAAACTAAAACGTATTAAAAGATTAACTGCATAACTCCCTTAAGGGCACCTGTGACCATTGTGTTTTCCCCTCCTTCACAGGAAGTGTAAACTGACCACCACAGGACCCTGGCAAGAAGTTCCGCCTATACCACTGAGTGATGTAACCATCCTGCCGTGTGCAGCTCAGAGCAGCGTGGACGTGGTTCCTCTGTGGGCCATCAGCAACAAGGGAGACGTGCTCTGCCGACTGGGAGTCACCGCACTGACACCTGCTGTGAGTCACTTTAACTGCATGCCAACAGACAGCGTATGAACAGGTTAAACAGCATTTGGTGAGTCACACATTCAGAGCCATTTTCCTGTTGCCATTGCAACTGTGCAGAACAGTACCAGGTGGTTCTTTCTTGCATTGGACAGAGTGTGGAGAGAGTGCAGGATGTCTTTTAAGTCTAATGTCTGTTGATAAGTATGCATAATTTAAAATGCTTGGGAGTTGATTGTTCAAATAGCCTCTTGTCTCTCAGGGATCTTCGTGGCTCCACGTGGGAACTGACCAGCCTTTCAAGTCCATCTCCATCGGAGCTGCCAGCCAGGTTTGGGCCATCGCCAGGGACGGTTCTGCCTTTTACAGGGGATCTGTCTCTTCACAGAGCCCAGCAGGTCAGTGGGAGAAGCTGTGATAGTGTGTGTGTGTGTGTGTGTG